CAAGGGGTAACAAAGGGGTAACAAGGGTAACAAAAAGGTAACAAAAGGGTAACAAGGGTAACAAAGGGTAACAAAAGGGTAACAAGGGTAACAAAAAAGGGTAACAAAGGTAACAAAGGGCAACAAAATAAGGTAAAAGGGGTAACAAGGGGTAACAAGGGTAACAAGGGGTAACAAGGGTAACAAGGGTAACAAGGGGTAACAAAGGGTAACAAGGGGTAACAAGGGGTAACAAGGGTAACAAGGGTAACAAAGGGTAACAAGGGGTAACAAGGGTAACAAAGGGTAACAAAGGGGTAACAAGGGGTAACAAGGGGTAACAAGGGTAACAAAGGGTAACAAGGGTAACAAGGGGTAACAAGGGGTAACAAAGGGTAACAAGGGTAACAAGGGTAAAAAGGGTAACAACGGGTAACAAGGGTAACAAGGGGTAACAAGGGGTAACAAGGGGTAACAAAGGGTAACAAGGGTAACAAGGGTAAAAAGGGTAACAAGGGGTAACAAGGGTAACAAGGGGTAACAAGGGTAACAAGGGTAACATGGGTAACAAGGCAACAAGGGGTAACAAAAGGGGTAACAAGGGTAACAAGGGTAACAAAAGGGGTAACAAGGGGGAACAAGGGTAACAAGGGTAACAAAAAGGTAACAAGGGTAACAAGGGGTAACAAGGGGTAACAAAAATAAGGGGTAACAAGGGTAACAAGGGGCAACAAGGGTAACTAGGTAACAAAAAGGTAACAAAGGGGTAACAAGGGGTAACAAGGGCAACAAGGGTAACAAAACAAGGCAACAAAAGGGTAACAAGGGTAACAAGGGGTAACAAGGGTAACAAGGGGTAACTAACAAAGGGTAACAAGGGTAACAAAAGGGTAACAAGGGGTAACAAGGGGTAACAAGGGTAACAAGGGGTAACAAAAGGTAACAAAATGTGGGTAACAAGGGTAACAAGGGTAACAAGGGTAACAAGGGTAACAAGGGTAACAAGGGCAACAAGGGGTAACAAAGGGTAAAAGGGTAACAAAGGGCAACAAGGGTAACAAAGGGTAACAAGGGGTAACAAAAAGGGTAACAAGGGTAACAAGGGAAACAAGGGTAACAAGGGGTAACAAGGGGTAACAAGGGGTAACAAGGGTAACAAGGGGTAACAAGGGTAACAAGGAGTAACAAGGGTAACAAGGGGTAACAAGGGTAACAAGGGTAACAAGGGTAACAAGGGGTAACAAGGGTAACAAGGGGTAACAAGGGTAACAAGGGTAACTAGGGTAACAAGGGTAACAAGGGGTAACAAGGGGTAACAAGGGGTAACAAGGGTAACAAGGGGTAACAAGGGTAACAAGGGGTAACAAGGGTAACAAGGGGTAACAAGGGTAACAAGGGTAACAAGGGTAACAAGGGGTAACAAGGGGTAACAAGGGTAACAAGGGTAACAAGGGGTAACAAGGGTAACAAGGGTAACAAGGGTAACAAGGGTAACAAAAGGTAACAAGGGTAACAAGGGTAACAAGGGTAACAAGGGGTAACAAGGGTAACAAGGGGTAACAAGGGTAACAAGGGGTAACAGGGGTAACAAGGGTAACAAGGGGTAACAAGGGGTAACAAGGGTAACAAGGGGTAACAAGGGTAACAAGGGGTAACAAGGGTAACAAGGGTAACAAGGGGTAACAAGGTTAACAAGGGGTAACAAGGGTAACAAGGGGTATCAAGGGTAACAAGGGGTAACAAAAGGTAACAAGGGTAACAAGGGTAACGAGGGTAACAAGGGGTAACAAAGGGTAACAAGGGAAACAAGGGTAACAAGGGGTAACAAGGGGTAACAAGGGGTAACAAGGGTAACAAGGGGTAACAAGGGGTAACAAGGGGTAACATGGGTAACAAGGAATAACAAGGGTAACAAGGGGTAACAAAGGGTAACAAGGGTAACAAGGGGTAACACGGGGTAACAAGGGTAACATGGGGTAACAAGGGTAACAATGGGTAACAAGGGGTAAGAAGGGTAACAAGGGGTAACAAGGGTAACAAGTAGGAACAAGGGTAAGAAGGGGTAACAAGGGTAACAAGGGTAACAAGGGGTAACACGGGTAACAAGGGGTAACACGGGGTAACAAGGGTAAGAAGGGTAACAAGGGGTAATAAGGGTAACAAGGGGTAAGAAGGGGTAACAAGGGTAACAAGTAGGAACAAGGGTAAGAAGGGGTAACACGGGTAACAAGGGGTAACAAGGGTAACAAGTAGGAACAAGGGTAAGAAGGGGTAACAAGGGTAACAAGGGTAACAAGGGGTAACACGGGTAACAAGGGGTAACACGGGGTAAGAAAGGCAACAAGGGTAACAAGGTTAACAAGGGGTAACAAGGGGTAACATGGGGTAACAAGGGGTAACAAGGGTAACAAGGGGTAACAAGGGTAACAAGGGGTAACAAGGGTAACAAGGGGTAACAAGGGTAACAAGGGGTAAAAAGGGATAACTAGGGTTACAAGGGGTAACAAGGGGTAAGAAGGGTAACAAGGGTAACAAGGGGTAAAGGGGTAACAATGGTAACAAGGGGTAACAAAGGTAAGAAGGGGTAACATGGGATATTAAGGGTAACAAGGGTTAACAAGGGGTAAGAAGGGGTAAGAAGGGTAACAAGGGTAACAAGGGGTAACAAAGGTAAGAAGCGGTAACAAGGGGTAAGAAGGGTAACAACTAACAAGGGTAAATAGGGGTAACGAGGGGTAACAACGGGGAACAAGGGGTAACAAGGGGAACAAGGGGTAACAAGTGGAATAAGGGGAAGAGGGGTAACAATGGGAGCAGGGGAACAGGGGGAACGGGGAAGAAGGGGGAACACGGGGAACGGGGAACAAGGAGGGAAAATTGAAAGAGATAAAACCGGGTGAACCAGGGGGTACATGGGGAATGGGGCGAACAAGGGTAACAAGGGGAACAGGGTGAACAAGGGAAACAGGGAGAACAAGCGGAGTAAGAGGAACAAGGGGAAAAAGATCTAATTGATTTTGTAGAAACAAAGTTTATTAGGTGGCTATTGGGAGTAAACAAATACTGTAGCTCAAATGCGCACAGATCGGAGGTAGGCCAATTCCCAATGTGAACGAAGACAAAGTGCAGAGCCAGTAAATATTGGCTAAAATTTTGTGACACGGAGCATCAAAATAAACTCTCTGGAATAGCATTTACAGATCAAATTGGTGAAGGCAAAAAAAGGAACTTTGGCGAAGCAAATTAAAACGGCTATTAAATCTCGCAGGTCTTGGCGATATATGGTCAGCGAAAACGAACACTCCTGTAACCATGAACTATATACGACAGAGCCTCTTAGACATAGAACAGCAAACATGGATTAGCGAAATACACAATGATGAACGAAAGGATCCGCATCAAAAAAACAAACTAAGAACTTTTACGAAATTTAAACTTACCCATGACTACGGAAATTACCTCGCAAACGTAAGAAACATCGATCATAGAGTAGCAATCACTAAGCTAAGATTAAACAACCACAAACAAGCAATTGAAACTGGGTGATACGTTAAACCCTATCAACCACCAGACCAAAGAATTTGTCCATTATGAAAAACTGGAATAGAAGACGAGGAGCATTTCTTGAAGAATTGCATAGCTTATAGGGATCCTAGGGGAGAGCTGTTCAATACGCTAAAAAAGGAAACTAATCTTTTTCTTGACTCTGTGACTCCAAGCTCTGCTTTTCAGCGTTGATAAGTATGAAGCAAGGTGAAAAAAAGGAAAAAAATGTGGCTAAATACGTATGTGATCGCTTGCGGGAGAGAGAAAGACGCGTTAAATAAAACCTTACCTAATTGTATAAATTCTACAAATGTACACGTCTGTAATTATTGCACCAAAATCTTTGTTATAGTTGTACAACTATGTATCTGTAGGCGCTCTGTTGAAAATAAAGCAGCTATCCTATCCTATCCTACAAGGGGGGAACAAGGGGAAGAGGGGGTGAGAAGGGAACAAGGGAAACAGGGGGGAAGGGGCAACGAGAGGAACAAGGGGGAACATGGGGAACAGGGGAACTGGTGAACAAGGGGAACAGGGGGAAAAGGGGAACAAGGGAAACGAGGGGGAATAAGGGGAGACATGGGAAACAAGGGCAACAAGGGGGAACAATGGGAACAAGGGGGGACAGGGGTAACGAGGGGAACAAGGGGGAACATGGGGAACAGGGGAGCTGGTGAACGAGGGGAACAGGGGGAAGAAGGGAAATGAGGGGGAATAAGGGGAGACAGGGGGGACAAGGGTAACAAGGGAGAACAGGGGAAAGAAGGAAACATGGGAATTTATTGACCGCTACGCAAGAGGGTAGCGCGCTTGCCAAATTCGACAAAGAAAAGAAAAACGTCTGTGGACAGGTTACTGCAGACGACGCAACGTGACAAACATTTTAAAAGTTTTATAAATGTAAGAGAGAGTAGAAGCACTTCAGTGGGGTCTAGTAAGTTGCGGAACTTACCCAGCAATCAGCGAATAGGCCTTCACAGTTGTCAGTCTTGTGATTTCATTTCGCAGTCTGTCAAGGAAAATTGGCAGGCACTGAGGCAGCTGCTGGACAAGCTCATCTCCAAGGCTGCACAGAATCTGACCCCTGCAACATGAACAATACACTAATCAGAAAAATTACAGACACTTCTTTAAGATGGGCAACTCCCTAAAACAGAAACCTGTACCCCGCAGAGTTGGTCCTTGCAATTTCTTGCTATGTTCAAGTACCGACACGTACATGTATTACCGGCCACAATAAGTCGTAAGAAGGCTGGGAAGAGTAGAAAATGAGAGCGCGAAGAGGGGAGGGGGGCGTGGATGGGGGCGGTGGAAAGCTTACTTTGAGAGCCCCAATCATATCTGCTGCTTGACTGTACTCCCCCTAATAGCGCCCCACAAAAATGCAATTTTGGGGGCGTCAAATCCTAAGAAATAAATACTAGCGTGAAAAAGTTCTACCAAGGAGGTTTGACTTGAATGGTGACACCATAGGTTTTCATCCACAGATTTAAAAGTTAGAGTAACAAATGAATCTTGCAATAACGTGGAATACAAGCGAAATAGCCTGCGAGCATTGCAACCTCTCCATTTGAAATGGAGAGCTTTCTCGTAGGCAACAGATGAAATAGTTTATTAACATTGCTCTCTTGATCCTTAAACATATGGAACCTATTTTTTTTTTCTTCTTGGATTCATGGTCCATAAAAGATATGATAGAAGCCTGGTAGCAAATTCTTGACAATCGCAAATGGCCTCCAAGTCCCAAGATTTCCCAGTCTGAATATAGCGTTCCCTTCTAGGTTCATCAGAGTAGAAAAAACGTGGTCTGTGACTTGAATGTACACAATAGACCTTGAACTTGTAAATACAGGCACTTTTAAATGTATACAGCTATTTCGAGAAAGGTTGTCGGAAAAAATGTGCACGCGACAATCCCAAAAGGAAATACGGGATACAATCAATACACTATAGCTGTCGAACCTACTTTTGCTGCTTTCCTTTAGCACTTGCAAACATATATCCATGGCCCCTAGTGCCATTCTATCAAATTTCTTTGAAGAACAGTGAACTCAAAATCACTCAAAAAACCCTTCGGGATTGTCCGAGTCGTGTGCACTTTTTCCGACAACCTTTCGCGAAATAGCTGTTTACGGCGCATGATAACTTACATGCATGATATGGCCCTTTCTTTGACCTCCTGATCGATATCAGCCGCTTTGAGTCTTGTTAACGTACACCGGTAGATATCCTGTACATATTTCCTGAACTCAAATGAGCTGGCTTGGACACCTTTTTGTGAGTACGAGAAAATGAACAATATGACTCAAAAAAGAGCACTTTCACAAATTTGTTACTCATCATGAATTTAAGTGGGCCCTTCTCTAAGTGACCCCTCGTATTTAATGTATATCCTTTGAGGGTGTTGGAAACTCAAGGGGAAGATGATTAATTTTCAAAGAATACATCGCGTATACCATGCACTAAATTTTCTCAGGAAGGGAAGATTTTTGTGTTTTGAAGAAATTAACTTAAAAAAAAATTGGTTATACACCACTTTCTTGCTATGAATAACTTTTTGTTGTTTTCAGTAAGTTGTATGAAAAAATTTTGCAGTTGAGTACATAGCTTATCAAAAACTGAGGTGATAAATCCCTTTTTTATTGATGTTATTACATCAGTCTACACCTTCCACATCTGAATTACTGCTCAGTTTCATATCTCTAGTTCCGTCCCACTATTGTTGCAATAAGTTGACAAATAGCACTCACAGTCTTAAGGGAGGAAGACCTTTTGGGATCATAGAAAAAAAGGCGAAATTTGGAACCCCTAAAAATTCAGCATCACACGTTACAACTTTCAGCTGAGTTGTAAATGTGGTGGGGGGGAGGGGAGGGGGGTGTAGACACGATTTTCATGTTACCAACCATGAGGTCTTATGACTTTGACGAGTTGCTGTGTTACCATCAAAGCTTCTGATGTGATTTTGTAGAATGGATCACCAACAGCGGTTATGACAGGCTACAAATTAATCAGAATGAAACAAGTTAGCAATTGCATAGCCTGCGAGCAAACTCTCCGGGGCTGCTCTGGCGTCGGGGCGGGAGAAGGGAGGAGAGCTTGCAACTACGTCTCTGGAATTTGAATTCCGCCTTCAACTCCACTGTGGCTCCCAGTCGACTGAGCTGTCAGTCTTCCGTCATTACGAATGTCATCTAAGCCAATGAGTATTTCGCATCGACTTTTTCGATGAAGAAATTCAAATTCCAGAGACGTAGTTAGGGCTAGTAATTACAACACCTTCTTTTCTTCAATAGGGAGCTTACACTACTACGACAGAGACGCCAGTTGAAGTGCCTCTCTGCGAACTTAAGTGAATCAATGAATAACTACAATATCAATAGCAAGTTAACTTTCTCATATACTTACAGGTACAAGCACGTGGATGTGCGGATGAAACACTTTAGGAGGATGCTGAGCTAAGATACAGCCCAGGAATGACAGAGTATCGATCTTCATGTTTGACGTGGAGCTCTTGTCTCTGGAATAAAAAACAAGGTATAGAGAGTAATTCATCACAACACCAAACTAGTCCAACGCAAAATCACAAAATTGATTAACAATCATTCCTCGAGCGAGAATGGGCTCTGAGTCAATAGCCCATGACGAATGGGCTATTGACTCAGAGGCCATGAGGGAGAGAGGAATATTGTTTTAGTAAAATCCAACTAGTTGGTCAAAAATATCGCGACAAAACAACTTTAGCTAGTTAAAGTTAGAATTTAATCGTTTTTTTGCCGCCAAAAAGCCGGCGCTTTTCTCTACTAGTGGCCTATAACAGATAGCCTAGTAGTAGCTCAACCAATCAGAACGCAGCATTGATAATAGACCACTAGTTGGATTTTACTGATAACCAATTCTCTATTTTCCAATTGCCCATAATACACTCTGTTTGCCCCCCAAATTCTGCATAAACCATTGTTTTTAAATGCTCCTGGGAGTACTGCATTTTCCCAAGAGCATTTTAAGACAATAAGTTATGCAAAATTTGGGGGGCAAACAGAGTGTATTATGGGCAATTGGAAAATAGTCAATACAACGCTAAATACAGTTAAACCTCCATGCGCGACCACCTCTTGTAAGCGCCCGGACCACCTTCCTTAAAAGACCACCTATCCAAAACACCACAATTTCTCATTCAAAGCCGTATTATTGGAACCTCTCGAATACAACCGCGACCGCTTTTGGGTTGAAGGTTTTAGACGTTTCCATTGTTTTCAACCTCTTAAAAGCGATCCCCTCATAAAATGGTCTGATCTTTGTGTTCGCTGTTTGTATCAAGGCCGATTTAGACGGTACGATGTTTGCTTACGACTATTGTGCGCGACTAGCATGTGTCATGAGTTTACGACAGTTCGTGTCATGTAAATTAGACCCACGACAGTCGTACGACACATTGTGGATGTCGTATGTGAAAATTGTGCGCGTGTGGAAGGTCGAAAGTATGAGAAGAACTTTTAGAACCAACATGGATTTACATATTATGGTAACCTAAAAACTTCACACAATACATTCTGTTCACAAAAAGTAGGCGTGACTGCACTTCCTGTAAAAGACCCTCTGCAGTTCGACTCTCGTAAGCGACCACCTCCCGTAAGCAACCACGGACTCTTCGCATTTTGGGTGGTCGCTTACTGGAGGTTCGACTGTATGGCTTTATGTCTTAGAATCAGAGCTATGAAAAAAATTATTGAGCAGGGGTAAGCTGTTCGAAAGATGATTAAAGGAGATCCAGGGTTAATTACCATATCAATTTTTATGCTCTGCTTTTAGTTAACCTACAAATCTGGACAAAAGTCCTTGGGACAGTACTGCAATATTCGTATTTTTCTGTCACCTCTCGGTTCCCTCTTAAAACAGTGCATCCTTTTCGAAATTTTCTTGCATTTCGCTCTCCCCCCACCCTATACATAGTTGAAACTCGTAAAAAATTCTGGACACACGCGTCTAACATTGTTTGTGGGGTGAGGGGAGGGGTTGGACCTTTGTGAATTGGAAAACGCCCCAGAAACGCAATAGCGTCCCAAGACTTTTGTCCAAGATTGCAGCTTACTGCTAGCTGGGCTTCGAATAGAAAGGTAACAATCTTGTAAGGGGCGCTCAAAGGGGTGATAAAAGGTTTGTGGTGCCACAGTACTTAAAATAAGCGGCAGAAAAAAACGTCTTACCCAAGAGAGAACTGTATTCCAGGAACAATAGCACTGATGTGATCTGACAAAGCTCCAGGTAACACAGCTACAAGCTCTAAGAGCAGATGAAAACATCCCTACAAATAACAGTGACAATCAGTAAACACGCAAAGTACATAGAAGACCATTGTACGTTTCTGGGAAACTGCCCACCTACCCAACCCCAAAGCCAACATTAACACTTACTTCTCACTTATGGCAAAATGTTGGCTTAGGGGAGGGGTAGGTGGGCAGTTTCCCAGAGATGTATAATGATCCAGAAATTGCTCCCTCAGCGGTCCGCTGTGGTAGCGATCGGATGCTATGACGTCTGATCGTAGGCATCCACGCTTCAGGAATCTCAATTCTCCTCTCCCTGTTGATGTTCTAAGGGTGTAGTCTTATGCAAATACCGTAAAATTCCGAAAATAAGCCCCTCCAAATATAAGCTCCTCAAACACGTAACGCATAAAACCCTCCGTTAAATCGCCCCTCCAAGTATAAGCCCCCCCCCTGGGAGTTTGTACTTGGAAAATTGCCCTCAAATACAAACTAAAACAAAGTTAAAACGGTAAATTTCCTTCCAACTATAAGGCTAGCCCACTCGATTTTGAAACGCAAATTTCCCTCCATAGATAAACCCCTCAAAAGGACCTTTGAAAACTATAAGCCCCTGGGCTTACGGAATTTTACGGTAGCTCCTCAAACTCTAAGAGATTTTTGCATGAAAGGGTTTTCCAAAAAAAAAAATTTGCGTCCACACGGTGCATTTTTTGACTCGTTTTTACCCCCAAAAGGCAATGGTGACTGAAAACGAAACGGTACCGTCTTTGATGAGAGAATGCGCATTTACTGATATATGAGCCCGCGAGATGATGGCGTCTTCTCTCCGTGCGCGGGATAGACTGGATCCAACACCGTGCCGCAATCGTTTCAAAAACCTCCGATTAAGTACGGCGTTTTCGTAAAAAATCTTCGCACTGGAGAGCGTTTTTGAAATGATGCGTTTTCAGAGAAAAAAAAAAATTCGTTTTTGTTACAAAAACGAATTCATGTGGGCAGAGTTCCCAAAAAATAACTAACATCAAATTTCTCCTAACAATATATATACATCATAAAGAGAAGAAGTTATGAGAATTAACAAAATGCTCACTAAAGGGAAAATGCTTTGATCTGTGAGCAAATTCTCTCAGCTGATAAATTAAGGAAATGTATGGAGCTCAGTGAGGAGAATTTGTGTGTGGATATTGTGCCTTGGTAACAAGGGAATGTAGTTACCTGTCTGGTCTTGACACTTTTCTCTCTCAGTTGTTTGTATAAAGCTTTGACAATTGATGGGATTTGACTTGTGAGCAAGTTGACTGGGCTAAAATAAACAATATTTTACTTTAGAACATACCATGGGAGGGGGGGGGGGGACTGGTACATCATTAAGGTGTAGTGTGAAACAACAAATTATAATTGAATATGACAAATAGCACATGAATCTCACGAAAATTTTCTTAACTTTTGGGGACATCAACTGAGATACTAAGATAGAAACTTTTTAAAGAAAGCATGTACAGTGTACACAGTGGATGCCAGTGAGCCCTGTTCCAAACCAAATAGGTTTTGAACAAGTCAGTTTTTCATGAAAGGGGAAAACCAAAGTACCTAGAGAAAAACCTCTCAGAGCAAGGTGGAGAACAGAAAACAAAACGGATCTAATACAATGGCATCACAACCAGGATTCAAACTCTAGTGGAAGGAAGGTGTTCTCACTGTTGTGCCGATGACGCTGAAGTACTAAAGTCCATAGATCACAAGGTTAATCGCCGAGTTAAGGAACCACTACCCAGTATTCAAATCGGCCTTATATTGTAGCCTTATATCAGCGTACAGTATAAGAAGCCCAATAGAGTAGTTAGAAGACAGAAAATCGCACGGCTGGTAAACTGTTAGCTTTTATGACTGATGACAAAGTTACAAAAGCATTGAAGTAATTTGCTACGATTTTGGTGAACGTTGGCCTAAGTGCCATGTTTTATCTACATGTAATCATAGAATATTACTCTTTTTAGCAGATTACTTAAGTTACGGTACAGCTTAGAGATAAGCGACCAACGCACACGCAAAACGCACGCACCATTTTTGCGTATACGCGTCGGGACGCGTGCGTGCGTTTTTTTTCCCTTTTTTAATTATGGCCACTAGTTTTCCTTGTTTGTCGTTGTTTGGCTGAACACAAGACTACTCTTTTCTAACTGAAGTTTACGTATAAATGTTTTTCGGCCAGAATGTGCACATGTCTTGAGTTTCGGACGGATCAAACTTTATTCACCCGCCGTGGATCAAGTTCACTGCAATCTCGACTCGATTCATGAATCTTGGCTGTGAATCGCCCATTCATGCAGCACTCGAACATATTCTAACATGTACTCAGACGCAGACATGCAGACGCAAATTGTGCACACGCAGTTCACACGCAAACTTTTGGGCGGTTATTTCTGAGCTGCACTGTTATTCATCATAGTGGTCGTCATCGTCGTCATCAACATGATGATAACGATGACGATGACGATGCCGACGACGACAACGATGCCGATGCCGACCACGATGCCGACGCCATCACGACTCTTACCCTGAATCATCCTCCATTGCATCAGCGTCAAGAGTCTGACTCGCTACTGGTCGGGTTTGCCGCAAAAGTGTGATGTATGCAGCAAAAATATCAGCCTTTACATTTTCTTCCCTCTCTACAAATAAAGGCAAACAAAAAATTCAAATTTGTTACAGGAAACATGCGCCGATTGATGGAATGGGGTGGTAGAGTAACACGTTAAAGTAACAGCTTAGTACAGTACTATTCAAAATATAGTTACCACCCTCTCGTGAGATGCAAATTGCCTGATGTTGTTTCAGAAAACCCACCACATGGAGGGTCATTGGAAATTTCGAGGGGGAGGGGGTCTCAAAGAACAAACTTTTCTGGTATTCCAGACTGGTGGGGCTTAAGTTAAAAAAACGATCCTTTGTAGGGGAAGTAAGGATAACACATATATTGCATGAGGAAGGTATAAAACACAGTTTCCTACGGTTTTGTGCCACTGTTCAAGTGAAACCCATGTACAGCATAGTCAGTGGCGGATCCAGGAGAGGGGCCCGGGGGGCTCGCTCCCCGCTTATTTTAAGACCAAACAAAAGGGCAGAATAATTTTTTTGGAGACCCGCCCCCCCCCCTTATCTAAGGCTCTGGGTGACCCCCCCCCCCCCCCCCACCTTATCTCAAGGTCTGCATCCGGCACTGGTAGTAACCCAATCACATGGTACATGTATTCTTTTTTTGCTAGTTTACAAAAAGTGAATTTTATTAGGACTGTACACCTGCGCAATCCACCCTTTCTACACTCTAGGAAGTTACTGTAACAGGAACTTAAAAGGGAGCACAGGGATAATAGTTTGCAGAAATACTGTGATACAATTGTACCTTTGAATCGGGCGATCAGAGCTGGCGAGACTGACTTGTAAAATTCTGAGAGAAGCTCTGGTCTTGATCCCAACACTGCGGACAAACATTTGGCTGCAGATCTGCGAACCTGATGTGCAGAATATCAGATTGTTATTGTGCGCATACATGTAAAGTTAAATGGCACTTTTAATTATGTAAGTAATATAAAAGTACAAAACTATTCAATCCTTCCCTAAAGCTACAACTTGTACAGTAAAACGGGCGACAACTTGTTTTGCAACCTTACTGCAAAGAGTTGAATAGCACCTGCTGCGATGTTGCACACTTAGCCAGCCACGTTCAAACCTGTCTTGCAACACGTCACGTTGTTGCAAGTTGCGTGAGTTCTAACTTCTTATTGGATAAAATTACGCGGGAGTCACACCACACACGTCACTTGCTGCAAAACAAGTTTGCCTTGGGTTGGTAAAATGCGCAACATGTATAGATTTGTGAAAATGAAATGATCAGCATGTCACGATCGTGGGACAAAGAAAAAATCTGAGTCCCCGACAGGATTCGAACCTATGACCTCCCAAACGGCGGGCGAGCGCTCTATCCACTTGAGCTACGGAGAACTCATAGATTTTTTTGCAAAGTGTAGAACTCCTCTCTACTTTCTGCTACAAGTATTCAAAACCTGCATCAACCTGATCTTTGCAAAACAGGGATGGATGTGGGTGATAAAACGCACAACTATACATATGGTATAATAATAATAATAATTTAATTCTTATATTGCGCGCTTTCCATGAAATGATCAAGCGCGCATTACATTATTTCTATCTATAACAATTTAATACAGGGTATCTAACTAATAATTATTTATAAAATATACAACATATGTTAAGATACTAGTAATTATCGTGATAAAAATTAATACTGCTTAATAAAAAGCTTCCCTAAAGAGGTGCGTTTTCAGATGGCACTTAAAAATCCCTAGATCTACAATACAACGAATCTCACGCGGTAATACATTCCAAAGTGCCGGAGCTGCGACCTGGAGTGATCTCTCCCTAATGTAACCCTACTTCTATAAGTTGGCGTTGCAAGCAACAAACCATCGAGGAGGATCTTAAATTATAATTTCCTGATCTTTTAATTTACAGAAGTTCTCTTAAATACTCGTTTGTTGCAAAACAAGTTCCACGCTTTTGCTGTCTGTTTTACCACTTACAGCGCCAAATTTTCTACTGCTATAAAAAAATTTCACAAGTCAGTAGTGAATTATTCTTTACCTTCCAACTCATGTCATCATCATCGCTGTAGTCATCATCATCCTCACTAAAAAATTAACAGTACGTATAAAAAGCTGATTACGGCAAAAATCCACTACTGTGGACGTCCTTGGGAATGAAACTGATGCAGTCTCTAACAACAGTCTTTGTTTTTAATAAATAGTGTGTGAGAAGAACTTTCATACAAACATTTGTATTCCAAGGACAGCATGTTTCTGAACGATACCCAATAGAAAAATTATTGTATACCAAACCAGGATTACGCATTACTCACTCTTCGTCATCATCCTCCATGTCTGTCTCCATGAACTCATCTTCATCGTCGCTTCCGTAGTTGTAGTTTGGATCATAACAAATAAATTCTAGACAAAGCTCTGTGATCTGAGGACCAAACAATCACATCAAGTTAGGACTGTCAGTGCCTAGATTTCAAGTTTCTGGGTTAATGCAACAAGTAGATAGTGATTTCTTTTGGTTCTATTTTTCTTACTCCTTTTTCCTGTTGAAAGTAGTTGGGGGCAAATTCATAGAAGACCTGGCCTCCAGCCCTTAATCACAGCCCTGATCAAGCCATGATTATGGCAGTAACAACAATACCATCAAAAAACTAGTTACTGTACAACTGTGGTTACCAGTTACCCTAACCTCAGTTTACATGTTCAAGCTATAATTATGTTACAATAATCTAGTAATGATTATTGAATAATTATTCACCTTCTGAAACTGATCAATAGCAAGTGTATAAACAGACTAATAATTATGTGCAGTGTAAGTTACAATACACAGAAAGCTCCCTTAACGGACACTTGAAGCGGACAGCTCTACTTACGGCCGTTCTCACAAATCCACGTTTCAAGTCCCATACAAACTCTGTAATTTTTTTAAAGACACAGACACACTCAGGATTTACAAGTTAGACGCTAGCTTTGTTTTTAAGCTTGAAAACAAAGCTGAAAGAAAAGACGTCTGAAACGAGATCGCATTTGCCTATAAATCTTGCATTTTTTTCATAATTATTGCTGTTTGTCACAGTGAATTTATAATATCAGCTTTAGAGATCTTTTTTTTCACACACAAATCCATAGCCTGCGAAAACATCTGTTTCTCCTCGCTCTTCGCCGCTTGGGACGTTTCGAAATGAAACGAAACGTCCCAAGCGGCGAAGAGCGAGGAGAAACGGGCGTTTTCGCAGGCTAACAAATTCAGTTACACTTCAAAATACGTACATAACAATGTCATCTGCCATCAGAGCAACAGTACAGCCAAACAGTATTTTTTGAACAACTCTTACAAAACTAGTGACCACATATGAGAACTATCTTTTTAAAAGGCCAGCTCCAGTTGGGGACACCATTCTCTCATCTTGAGAGTGTCTGCTTACGAGAGCTTCCACTGTATTTAGCCCATTTTTACAACTAGCATCCTATTAATTTGTGCAACGACACCACCACATGTACCGCTGTACCTACTATCATCACAACTAACGAAGTCAACAAAATCAACATACATTTGGAATGTAAGGAGTAACTTCTTTAGGACATCTGCACACAAATGATTCAAATGCCTGCAAAATGAGAAAAGACCAAAAAAAATGTTGCAACCATTCAAAACAATGTCGCAAAAATGTGGAAATGCTTCATTGAACTAAAAATCATCTTTGCAAATCATCTTTTGTATCACCTTAACACTGAGATTTGTCAGAGAGTGAGAAAAAATAACTGGCACCATAGTTGATTGAAAGGTTCAAGATTTACATGTACAGTGTATTGAGCGATTTTTGTATGACCTTGAAAAAATGGTTTCAGAAAGTGTTTGTTACTTGTTTTATCAACTAATGGATGCAAAGATCAAAACATGGCCTCTTTGTTTTCTCACCAAAGAAAATCCCAATACGGAGAAAGCATTGTTAGATTGGCCAATCGTGTTCCAGTATGACATCAAAGAAAAGTACATGGAACGATTGATTTCTAGAAAATTCTCGGGCATGAAGTTTTTTCACCCGAGTGTTCGCTTAACAAACCCAAAAGCCACGTGCATTTATATCCGTTGGATAAAGCAATCAAATCACTAGAGCTATTTCCATTTGTTTGTTGCTTCTTTTTTGATTGCGCATTTTAATGTCAAGGTCATAGGAAAATAGCTCTAAAAACTGACCTGAATGCAGTACTCTCGCAACTCATCGTCATTCTCCACTTTGGAATACCGCACTATCATGGGCATGATCCTTTCAAGATGTTCTCCCACCCTATGACCTGCTTGTCGGCTGTTCAACAAAAACCAACAACAACAACAAATTAATATTTTCAAGAAACAAAATGAACAACTTAGATGTACAGACTGCAACCTCTCAAGTAAGACATTTTTATCTCCCTCCTCGAGCCAAAAATTTGAAGAAGCAGTAGGAAAAAGGCTGTAAGTAACCTGCTGAGTTATCTTTTTGTTATTTTTACAGTTTCCATAGAAACTGAAACAGCATGTGGGCATTTTGTTAAGTCCATAATTCCCATAATGTCCCATAAGGTTAATTCACTCACCATATTGCTCCAATACACTGGATAAAAGTTCGAGTGGTGGAATGAGAAGCGTTCAGCTTGAGTTCGGTCAACAAATGATCCATCAGCTCAACAAATAGACTGCTGTTTGCACTTAAAACAAGATGGCCTATGGTACACAAAACAGACAAGTTAAATTAATGGTCAGTCACATTACATTATGATTAATCTTGAGAAGTTACAATGGAGTACAAGAGGCTACAGGAGGTTAGAAGGGGTTACAGGGGTTTTAAGTGGTTACGGGAGGTTACAAGGGGTTAAAAAAGTTTAAAAGGCATTGCAGAGAGTTACAAGAAGTTACAAGGGATTGCAAGGAGTTACAGGAAATTACATGTACAAGGGGTAAGAAGGGGTTACATGGGGAAACAGGATATTAAAAGGGGTTACAGGGGGCAAAAGGATATTGCTACACTGTAGGGGACCTTACATGTACAAAAGGTTACAAGGGAAAAGGGTACCCCCCCCCCCCCCCCCCGACAAAGGAAAAATGGAGAGAGGGAACATCTACGAACGGCTAGAAAGGGGTGAAAGGAGGTTACAAGGAGTTTCAAAGGGTGCATTGTACTTTTCAAGGTCTTCTTTTTCCTCTTTCTAGTGGTTTGCAATACTGTTAATGTTTTGCTTCATACCAAGTGCAATGATAGTTCTCTTTCTGACAGCTAATCTTGCACTTGTAAGCTGTGGTAACAAGGCTTGCTGGATAGACTGGTGATATGACACCAACAAACCTGCAGAAAAAAGAGTTTGGATTATGGTACAGTATAACTAATAACAGTTTGTTCACTAATTAAAGAACACACACACAAACAGGGGTGTGGAATCGTCAACAACAAAAGACAGAGTTGTACCCATCGGAAATTAATATCGGACAGGTCTCAAAATCTTGGCATTTGAAATAAGAGTCTCAGAAACTTGGGCTCATTACATGCAAGTCCTTGTCTCAAATGTTAAAACCAGGGTCTTGCAGTCGCGCAAAGTCTTGAATTTACCATTCTATACCCCTACAAACCCATGACAAGCTTCAAGTGCTTTTTTATGGAACAACAAAATGCTGAAGCATTATTGAACTACCTGGACCAGATTTACTGACCTCCGAACCTGCTAAGAAGATCTCCCAGGATGTCTAAAGCTTCCAGTTGAACTGACACATCAGTGCTCTGAAATCAAGGCAACAGTACAGTATTGAGAACCAACAAAAGCACTATATAAAATGCAATTCAAGCTACTAACCTTGGCAATAGCATTAGTGAGTCGCCCAGTTATTCTGCGGCAAATATTTGCTGCCAGTGAGGATGAAGCTGGTGGTAGCTCTCCTATAACTGTCTTCAAACCTGACAAAGAAGTAAAATAAAAAAAGAAATAATAATTGCTGGTAAAGGTTTGTTTATAGTGAAAGGTTCATGCCAGTTGGTATAAAATAGTGACCGACGATTTGAATGTGGCAAGACCGAGAATGAATCCAGCGAGTGGCCACCAAGAGTGAGACTTGAACCTGGCACCACCAGATTATGGGTCCAACTATGTGCTCACCACTTGGCCAGGCCGCCTCCTCAAGTAAAAATAAAATGGATGTTCCAAATAAGAGGGAAGGCATCAGAATCCATGTGAATCTACAAGATGACTCACCAATACTTGAAATATCTCTTAGCTGCTCATTGTCCGAAAGCATGTTTGAACATAAGGAATCCACTATTGTTTCCACATGATGCTCTTTAACTTTACTAACCAGAGGTCCAAGGCTAAAACGATAAAACCCAAACACTGTCATGAGAGCTTGCTGCACAAGCTACACTCACATTTTGCTTAAATTTCAGCTCTTAAATCCAATTGTGGGCACATCTTACATACTGTACATTCAAGTTAAATGTACATGTACATGTACCATACACTTGCCTTGTACAAGACATCTCTCAAGGGTAATATAGAATAATACAAAAACATTTACAAAAAAAAGCAACCCAAAATTTGTTTCTTACAAACATTTTTCTTTACGTTCTGAGGAAAGAAACTTGTAACGATTTTGTCTTTTGTCAGGAAGAATCAAAACCATGTATATGACTTTGTACATGTAATTAATCACAATTTTGGAGATGTGCAACCTGACCACATAAAATACGTAAACTTGTAATGTTAAAATACAGTCAAACCTGTCTATAACAGCCCTGTATATAGCTGTCACCCTGTATATTACGGTTACCGGATAACTTCCCAAAATTTTCAGTTGCCTTATTTTTTCTGCAAAGTTGACCTGTATATAGCAGTCTCCCTATGTTTAACGGTCACCTTGCCATTTCCCAAGAGTGACCGTTGCACACAGTAAACAACAAAACCAGGTCTGCTTACACCAATAGTACACATTATGAACAATCGTGTACATTGCACTCAAACCTTAACAAGTTAGCAACCTTTGGACTCTAAGCCAATAAAATTGAACTATTGGCTAGATTTTAACTTTGTCTAAACTGCATTTAGCCGCATTACAAATACAACAAGTTCATGTAGAGTCTGTACAGCAGAATTCAGTATGTACTGTTATTACCATTTCACAGCTAGGTTCTGCACTTCACCATTTTTGTCTTCAAGCAATTTCAAGAGCATCTGAACAACCTATAAAGTTAATAGCAATACAACTCTAGTTTAATAGACCTCCAAGATGTGACAAAAGTGCTGTCCATTAGTCCCAGGCTGGTGGAGCGACCTATTGGGCTACAGATGTAGCATTTTTGATCACAAATTGTCCAAGTTCAGAAAGAAAAAGAAAATTTTGCCATCAGTCTGTTGTTTACATCCTCCACATGTAAAATGTGAAATTGGGCATTTTTGCATCACAGTTATGCAGAGACAGTAATGAAATGTACAAAGGTGTGTTGTACGTGCAGTTTGTCGTTTTGGTTATTAAACCTAGTGCTTTTTTATGTTCTTGTTGCCATCATCAGATCTTAAGATCTTATTATTGCAATAACTTCATTTCTGTTGACTTTACAGTACAATTTGCCACATAATCAATTTTAATGATTACTGGATAAAATTTAAATTAAGATTACACATGCAATTAAAAGGAATGACCTTTCTCTCACTGTCATCGTCCAGTTTAATGGAATCTTTCTGGAGTTCAGCCATAAGATCGTTAGTGGCCATGAACCTAAAGTCCTTATCACTTGATGTCATCTTCAAAAAAATAATAATAAATCAAAAATGAAATCCAGTGACAAATGTAGGTCACTTATTACTGCAGTTGTACAGTAGTATAATTGAACCCCCACTGAAATTTGTACATGTAACAACCTTCCCATCTACATAAAAAGCTTGAAATCATTTCATATTTTTAATACAAGAATAAAAAATATTTATCATGATTTATTACACTTATATTACACTACAACCTAAAACCTTAACTTCATGCAATTATCTTATCAGAATGAGTATAAGCTGTACACGTGTTGATTATGTATCTGTTAATTATTTTTATACATTTTAAGCAGCAGGGCTGTCCTTGTTAAGCCTAAAATGCTTTGCCAGACGAGAAGGATCTATAAATAACAAGACGGAATGGAACTCTATACCATTGCCGCAAGCGGCAATAGTGAAATGATTGATGGATTGTAATTTTAAGCAGTTGCGCGCGCCTTCTTGCACGCGTTTGAGGATGAGCGTACGCGATTGCTTGTTTGAATGTAACAACATATTGTAACAGTTTTAGCCAAACTGAAGAGGTTTGAATAAACGAAACTTGTCTTAAGGCTAAAGTAAAGGCTAGTGCGTGAAAGACTATTCATTTATTCAGATGTGAAGCCTCTTTCAAAATATTCTCCTGTAACGTAACCCCTTTCTTCCACTACAAGGATTCTTAATGAAAACCCTGTTTACAATTCTTCTGTACAACTATTATGGGACATTGATTACTGACAACGTAAAAGAGGGTGGCTGCTAAAACTCCACTGCTGGAGGTTCGATTGTGCGCAACAGACACATGTCAGTATGTAACTTATACGTTTATAGGAAAATAATGGAAAACAGAGGCATTTATATGACAAAATCACTGGTCCAAGAAATCCTTTAAAACAACAACAACAACATCAACAGTCATTAGCGTTTTCAAACTGTCAAGTGCTACATAACGTTAGCACTTCTAGAAAGGTCACGTACTAGAAATATAAGCAAGTCTCTCAGCTCTTCACTTTCGATCTTATTTTTCCGCAAAGACTCAGTGTAGCTTTGATCTCACAGTCACAGGTATCAAAATACATTCGAAATAGAATAACACCCAAGTTAGCGCCAAAGCGGAAATTTTCAAAACCGTAACATAAATAATGACAGTTGAATTGTTGTGCAGCGTGCAGCTTATTAGCTGCACGAGTTCGTGGGTGTACACGAGTACACTGTACAACAAGTCCAGCCAAACTACAATTCACCTTACCTTGTCCAAAAGAGATGCTATGTGGTACGGTGAGGTCGACATAATGGAAAATCCTATCCAGTCGAGAAGTGACAGCTTCTAAAATTAAGATTTAAAGGAAGAATGTTCGCTGATCAATTTCTTCCACCTCGGGTTAAGGTTTGTGATCAGTGCGCTTGCCTTGTAGCATCTATCCGCTGGTGTACTGCTGTTTCGGGATAAAGACAATTTGTTCCCAGGGTTCTTCTTGGCTCGTCCACGTTGATCCCATGTTTTGGGTATCCTGTGCTGGAAATTCTCTCCAGGATACAGGATACCCAGGAGCCATTGTCCTCTATGGCTCGCGGGATTTGCTGACTTGTCCATTTTTTTTTTTTTTCAATTTCCTTAACTTTTCCCTGGAAGCAGCCTCAATATCAGGCGAAAGAACCTCCATCCGCTATACTGGGACTAAATTTTTTAAAAGAAAACACTCTTTTGTGACGCCAAACATTTCTTGTCCAAAGCAATTTAATAAAGATTCATAATGCTGACTTTATCAACAGGCGTCTTTACGACAAAGTTAGTATCTTAGTATCAGAGTAAGACAAATTGATATGAGCCTAGATTTGTTGGCAAGAGTCTATGTTGGTCTGACGCCCTAGGACCGATACAACAGGCAAAATAGCCGATGACTTGAGAATTAAATGATTAGCTTTAGGACGTATCTCTTTCTTCATATTTTAAGTGGGTATTTTTTGTAAGCGAAGGTCAGTTTTGATGGTGACAAAAATATGGAATAATTTTCTCTGTAATCTAAATCTTGTTTTGAACCTGGTCGCCATCTTGGAAATTCTTATTCCATAATGTATTGCGATCGTAGTGCGCACACCACCTGGTTTTGAACAAATGGTTTCTGATTTTATACTACTACATGAGGAATTTCTGCAATTTGATTGGCTTAGAGCAGTGGTATTTCAGCTTAATTTGAAATATTGTCAAAATATTGTGAAAATTACAAACCTTTTGCGTGATTTGTACGTGATATTTGGCATAAATACCTCTCGTGATATTTCAAAATTGTCTATAAAATCACTCGCCTAACGGCTCGTGAAATTACCTATAACAATTTTAAAATATCACTCGTGGTATTTATGCTAAATATCACTACAAATCATGCTATTACCTATACAAACAAGTTTTTTGCTTGCACGGTATATAGTCGATTACGTCAGCCTTGGTCAATACAGCATAAAGACGTTTAATGAAAGGAGACCGTGCAAGGATCAGTCAGAGAATAAATCAGTCAGAATGCCTGGGAGTGAGGAATTGAAAAAAAATGCCAGAGAAGGGAGTCGGGGAGACTGAAAAAGAACCGCAAGTAAAATAGGTTGTGACGTCATTTGGACGACTCCGTTGATGATAGCTAAGCGCAGGGTGTAAGATTGTTTCAATTTTGTCTGATGTATCTATGGTCACCGTTTTTCATAACTTTCCCATATCGAACGCACTTTCTAATCTACGATTCTTCTAAAAGTCGTGTTAACAAACAATATCCTTGAGATCGCAAAAAAACTCCGTGGAGATGAGAGTTTAATCAGCCGTTTTACAAGATCCTTATCGCAGCACGATGTTTTGATTGTAATTATCTTTGAGTGGGAAAAACATGGCTGTTTAAACATTTCTCGTTGCAATTATCCACTCGGAATTAATTAGGTCAGGTAACAATGTGTGGATAGCAGTTTATCAAAGGTAAATACAGCCATTTATTCTCCTGTCTTTTCTCGTATCAGTAATTATCATTGTGTATTAGTTCTTTCGGGGTTATTTCATATTGTTATATCCTCACACTGAAAAACTATCTCTCTGTTTTGAGTTTTTTTAGGGAAACTGTAGAGTGGTTCTTGTTTACTTAAGTCGATGGCAGTAAATTGACTATCAACATGATCGCGTTGTCAGTATAGGATGGGGGAGCAGTTCACTTTTAGTTTTGTTGTGTTACGTTGGCAGGAGCACCCAACGACGGTTTCCTCCTAAATACATGTACACGGAAAACACTTTTCAGGCTGTCCAGAGTACATTTAGAGCTCTAGAAATGCATTCTTAGTGGCGCTACACTCTTTTTTTCTATAAGGATATATTTTATAAGAATATCGAGGCTAGAATTTGTGAAATTTTAAGAATGCTTCAAGAATAAACCCCAGGCTGAGATTTTGAAAATGATATAATTTTGTAAGGTGAAAAGCTGTAAATGCAATACAATTTTTTATATGTTTTCAACTTATTCCTTTCTTTAAACGGCAAAACTAGCTAACAAAACAAAAAAAGGCACTAACTATAATTGATATCCCAATATATTCTAAAACGGAAACGTCATATGCTATAATTTAAGAATAATACAAGAATATTTTCAACCAAAAATCAGCGGGAAAATAAGAATATTCAACCTGGGCCGGAAAAACGACATTCTTATGTACAAAACAAGAGTGTTTAAAATTTGTATCCGTTCGGTCACCCTAGGGGAACTTGAGTCTTTTCGAAATTACAAGGGCTTCAGTTTTATTATCCCGAAAATTTAAGATGAAATTTACATTTTGTCAGATTTCTATCGGTACTTTACCCTACACCGCAAAAAATCATACTATGATAAAATTGCAACCTTAATTAGCTGACTACAGTGGATCTTTAAAAAAGTTACAATAATAATCCTTCTTATGTCGTTTAGCAATATTTCTGAGCATGTGTATGCCTCAATTCTTATCAAGCTCCCTCAATTTTCAAATAGAAAGAAACTTGAATTCGCTATTTTAGCTTCAAGTTTGCGGGGGAGGCATTTCTTCCACGTTAATCCGTGACACCGAGTTCCAGCCCGTATAACCATCAGCATTTCCATAGCCATGACAGTTGCCAATCCAGAATCCCACGCGCACAGTGCCTTTGGCGATGTTCTCACAGACTCCTTCGACGTGACGCGGGCGAAGCAAATTCTGTGTACCTTTCCCCTTCCACATGTAGACCACAGCATCAATAGCTGCTAGTCCCGAGCATTCTGCGCCATTAAAGGTGAAATGCCATCGCTTGCAACAGCTGTCGCAGTTAAAGATCCCGAGCGTGCCACCGAAGTAGACACGCAGACTTGAGTTGTCTGACGTTTTCTCAAAAATGCATTCCTATTTGAAAGGAGAGGAAACAACATTTATGTTTATACCATGAAGTTTGTGGACTAATGTTGGGATCCTGTTATTGTTATACGTAACGTGTCTGTTATTTCAAATATCGTGTGCCGATCGAGCAACTGAAGAGGTCCTAAGACGAATTTAACTAATTCTGTGTATCACCTAAAAAAAATACTGTGATGAAAGTTGATCCCAATTAGATTTTTCTTTTTTCTATTGAGTCAAAGTTAAGTAACACTTTCTTCGCGTCAGCGAACAAAATCCCGCAGGATTCTCTCATTGTTTCCCGCTACATTTTCTGGGAGTAATTTTTGATGAAAACCTAAATTGGAAGTCGGAAATATCACACGTTGGAAATAAAGTTGCGAAGTCAATCGGTATAATATCTAGATGCAGCTTCTTTCTTCCTAAAACGTCTCTACATAATTATGTTTTACTATTCCTTAATTTATCCTTATTTTCACTACTGCACTAATATATATAGTTTGGGATTCGTCCTATGAAATTAATTTCCGCCGTCTTGTTATCCTGCAAAAGCGCATTATTAGAATTTAATAAATCACATTTCAATGCTCATACCCCAGAACCCATCTTTAATGACCTCGGTATACTAAAATTTGATGATATCCATTTGCTTCAACTGGGCAAATTTTCTGTTTTCTTGAAAAAATTCATTCTCACCTCCAAGGTGTAATAACACTTTCTCCCAAGGCAATCAATTCCACTCTTACAATACAAGAAATTCCCAGGCCTACCGTCTACCCTATTGTTGAAAAAACACTAAGAAGTTCGCGCCCTTTTTTCGAGGACCTAAGTTTATTAATTAACTTGACAACGAGGTCATCAACTCTCAATCCCTTTCCCCTTTTAAGAAAAAACTGAAGATTAAATTATTGAGCAAATATGAAAACAGTTCATAAATCTTTCTATCTTCGACTTTTCTCTATCTTTTCTTCAATTGATGTTAAACAGCTCTATCACGTTGATCGAGGAGGCCTAACCTCTCATAAGCTCCTATAGTTTCTGTTAGGTCTCCTCGCCACTTCTTTTTTTCTTCTTTTCCTATATTTATGTAATCATTGTGTGGCAAATAAAATAAAATAAAAAATAATAAATAAATAAAAACCTTCCTGTGGTAATGCTTATTGTGCTGTACAAAGAAGTTTTTACTTTAAGTCTGTATGTAAAATCATAATGTGTGCGAGGACCATTCAAATGTAAGCTACTGAGCAGTATTTTCCTTAGGTGTACTATTTATTATGCTGCACAAAGTGGCTCTGATTTTCGGAGTCTGTGGATGATAGCCTTCTGTGTTACCGTTCTGATGAAAGCATCTAGGCTGTGTGTTCTTTTCTGAGTAGTGATGATTATTATCCCGTATGAGGAAGTCTAACGTCTTTAGTCTATGTAATAATGTGACCATGGCAAATCAAGCTACTGAGCAGTGCTGTCCTATGGTACTATTTATTATGCTGTACAAGGTAGTTCAAATTTTTTAGTTTGCTGGATAAAATCCTATGGTGTCAGTTGTGGTGTGACCTTTCAAATAAAAGCTACTGAGCACACTGTGTATTATGCTGTAACGGTTGTTCTATCTTTTAAGTCTCTTGGATGAAATTGCCTATGGTGTGTTCAAATAACAGCTACTGAGTAGTCTTTCCTGCTGTACTGTATATCTTTCTGTACAAGGTGGTTCTAACTTTTGCCGCGAACTGCAGTTCAATAAAATTGAATACATATATAAACAGTCTGGAAGAATGAATATCCACCGTGTTGACAACTTAAGCTTTTACCTCGATCAATCCATTGTCCTTGCCGTCGTTCAGGTTTTGAAAAACGCACTGTTTCCAATTACGTACCAACGGTCCTGGATCTCCCTTGGGACCCGGGGGACCTTGATCACCTGTATCACCCTTCTTTCCAGCTTCACCCGAGGGTCCCTGTGGTCCGTTGGGGCCTGTGGGGCCTTTGGCTCCAGCAGGACCTGCATCACCCTT